AGGGAAGCCAGAGGGACCTCACAGAAGATCAGGGTACACACAGCATCTTCCTGGGATCCAGCATCTCCATCCCCCTCAGGGCTGGCCAGGCCAGGACCCTGGGAACCTTAGGGTCCCTCAGGAATTATCAGTATACTTCTTGAATACATAGGCCTGTCTTTTAAAAAACACTCTCCCCCTTCCCTTACTGGGATTGCGCCCGTGTGAAGTTCAGTAAATCCTTGAAATGGAGCAAAGTCCACTACAAGGCGGGTGAACCTTAGCTTCTGTCCTAGGCCTGGGGCCCATCTCAAACAAAGGTGAACAAAACTCTTATCTGCAGGGTTGATAAAGAAGTGACTGCTCCTCTGGAGCTTCCTGGGCGTGGTCTGCAGCTTGTAGTGAGCAGTTTCAGTCTTTACCTCTCTGCTTTTTGTGACAATACAGGCGCACTGAAATCCACCGTTTTTCAATGATCTATAATACCATAACTCCACATTTTACATGACTGAAAACTGTGGACTCAGCCAGTTGTCTTATGGTGGGATTGCACTCTACTAAGCACGAACTGTGTGCCACGGCGCTGTGCTAGGGGTAGGGCAACAACACTGACATGGTCTGTGTGCTCAGGGAACTTGCTTTTGCACAGAGGAAATGGACAACGAGCCGATAAAAAAATGCAAACTGAGAAAAGGGCTATGAAGAAATCAAAGGACCGACACGGACAACACCAAGGAGGGCTCCCACCTCAGGCGGTTGGGGAACCTTTCCGAAAGAGGGGACATTTGAACCGAGGAAGATGCACTGGGGAGAACCGAAGGGAAAGCATTCTACGCGTCAGAAACAGCATGTGCTAAGGCCCTGAGACAGGGCTAGGAAAGGCTTGGTTTTAAGTTGGTGCTTGTGGCTCCAAGGGTCCCAGAGCAACCTGGACAAGAAGAAACTGGGGAAGGGGGAAGCCCCAGAACTGATGCTCAAGGCTGAGGCCTAAGGCACAAGCTGGAGTCTGCAGTGGCTCAGTCAGCTCCAGGCTGTCCTGGACACGGAGCTGCGGTGTCTGCGTCACACACAGGATGCGCACAGCCCAAGGCAAGGACCAGTCATTGGAAGGAAGGCACGGAGAGGCTTCCTGGATCTCAGTCAGAGAGAGAGGCTGCAGGACTCGGAGGGCTGGGAGTAGATGAGCATAAGCACCCATTTTCCCTCCCCCTACAAAATGTGGGGTCTGGCCTAGGCCCCCCTTTATTCATTCAGCAGTGGTTGGTGGAGGCCTCCTCTGTGCCCAGCACTGTACGTGGCACCGGGGATACAACAGTGAACAACGCAGAGAAAGCCTTGCCCTCAGGGAGCTCATTTCTCAATAGGGGCACCTGCACGCCTGTGTGTGTGTGCGTGCGCGTGCGCACGCCTGAAGCAAACTCAGTGTTTTGGAGGAGTAGGTATGAGGAGCTCTCCCTTCCTGAATAGGAGTCCTGAGCCGTGGGCTCCTCCATTAGTTTTTCTCCATTCTTTTCTAGAGGATTCTACTCTGGGACCAGAGTGCTTTGGCCCTTGGGTCCTCTTTCCTATTGGTGAGAATTTAAAGAGAAACACACAAGTAGGCACACGCTCTCACACACACACACACACACACACACACACACACACACACCCTCCCCCTTTAAGGGTTGTTAAAGGCCCACACACAGACACAGGAACACCCAAATGCACATACTTCTCTAATCTCCCTAAGTCCCCCATGCCTGGGGTGGGGTGGGGGTGGGGGTTTTCTGCTTTCCCATTCCTCTCTGGAGAAGCCAGGCCGGGGGCCTGGGGAGCAGTGATCAGGCCTAGCCCCACACCTGCCTTCTGGGCCGGTCCCGCCCACACCTGGCCTCCCCACCTGCTGGGAGGTAAATGAATGTGCTGGGCAAACATCCTCCAAGCTTCCTGCTGCTCCCCTCTGAGACAACAGAGCTCCTCTTCCTCCTCCTCCTTCCCGCACCCTCCCAGCCGGGGATTCTCTGGGATCCAAAGCCATTTTTCTCTAGAGAAATCAGTCATCCCTTCCCCATAGCCAGAGAAATGAGGCAAGAAGCACACAGAACTAGTGTCTCTGTCTGGATGCTGTCCTCTCCCCTGTCCTCGATCCCAGCTCTCTGAGCCCCAGACCCTCTCTTACCTGCCCAGGGGCTGAAGAATCACAGGGTACGGGGAGGAGGGCTCTAGGGTCATCACATCAGGAGTTTGGGAAGATGTGGGGAAGAAAAGCCCCCACATCTGGCAGGAAGGGTGGTCCTTTCGGAGGGGTGCCTGGGAATCACACACGCAAAGCCGAAACTGCATGGAGGTATCTTCACCAAAGAGAAAAATAACGCACCTGGCCACCTCTGAGCACACCTGACGTGACTCTGCGCGCTCGTTCTACTGTCCCTGTCGAAGAGCATGTGTGCCGCTTGCACAGCGGTGCTCAGGGTGAGCGCACTTCCTGAGGTTTGCCTTTTTCTTTTTAGAGAGAGAGGAAGAGAGAGAAGTATCGATCTGTTTTTCCACCAATTGATGCATTCTTCGGGTGCTTCTTGTATGTGTCCTGACTTGGGATCGAACCCAAAACCTTGGTGTAATGGGACGATGCCCCAACCAACTGAGCTCCCAGGCCGGGGCCTTGATGTTTGCTTTTTGCACAGAGCAACAGAGCACACACATTTTCCACGGGACTTTACGGCCTTTATCTGGGTTTTGAACAGGCTAGCGCTGAGAAGCATGCAGACTCCACCCCCACCCATCTTCACCCTGGAACCGTTGTCCTATCTTTATGCAGAATGAAGAGGGAGCTGGGGGTGGGGTTGCTATGGGGTTTCAGCTGCAAGAGACCTTGGACACTAAACGGAGGCACCAGAGAAGAAAGTGACTTGCTTAAGACACATGACAACTCCTCCCAGAGCAGTCCTTTCTGCCACCCTATCTAGTCTCTGGAACAAGTTAACTGTGGAAACTTAACTGCCAGGCGTTGTCCTACATTAATCTTTCGTTAATTTGGTCACTCAGCCCCTGGCGTAACACGATGGGGAAGGTTCTGTATCTCCACTTTCAGGTGAGGAAACCAGAGGGTGAAAAGTCAGTTGTCTGAACTGCCCAGCTTGGCTGGTGGCAGCACAGCTAGAACCAAATTTCCTGATTCCCGGAGTTCTTTCTTCTCTTAGAAATCCTTTCCTTTTCCCTGCCTCTCCTGGTCTGGGCTGGCCTGGGACCGAGGTCAAGAGCTTTTCCAGCAGGGCTTTTCCCTCTCTAGTCCCGGGCTGGATACCACTGTCTGATCGTGCCTCCTTTCCTGCGCTGGACCGAGGCCCAGATGAGCAGCTGGGGACACAAGGCTGAATGGAGCAGCAGGAAGAGGCTGTAGGCGGCAGAGTTCATTCAGAAGAAAGCCCGACTCAGAGCTGCTGAGAGCTCTGAGGGAACCTCATGGAGGGTGTGGGGGCTACCATGCCCCTGGGCTGCAAGAATACAAACTCCAGCAAACCCCTTCCCTCTGTCCGGAGGCTCTAGGAGGGATGCATGAAACCCCAGATCCCTGCCACTTTATTCCTAGGATCTATGCCGCATGATCCTCAGATCAAGACTCACTCCACCCTTTGCCCATTTTATAGACCAAGAAAATGAGGCCCAGGGAGGAGAGCTGGTGGCATGGCCCAGGCTCACAGAGGGAGGCAGAAACAGAGGCAGGACTAGAACCCAGATCTCCCCACTACCAGTTCAAGCCCTCTCTCCTCCTCCACTTGGTTTCTCTGAAGTGTGGTCTCTGACTGGGACCAGCACCCTTCCTCAGAGCAAGGTGACCCTTCCTCAGAGCAGGGTGACCCTACGCTGCTGCCTAATGAAGAAGGTCTGGGAGACCTCACACCGCATGCCTCCCAGACTTAGGTTCCTGCTCCGTAATTGGTTTCTCCACCTTCAGTCTAGCGGCCAGGGAAAGTTTAGGTGGAAGTCCAAGATGCCCAACCCTTTAAATCTCTGTGTACTTGGCTCTTATCTAGCCAAGCTGATCTTGGTCTCAGCAGGTGGAGGCCAGGAAGTAGAGACCCCTGAGATGATCTCTGGATTTGGAGGAGGAGGGCCGGTGCGTGCGCGCGCGTGCACGCGCACGAGAGACTGGAGGTTCGGTTCATTGCAACGGGGGCATCCTACCAGATTCTCCAATCTGCCCACATTTTAACCAGGAAGGCTCTTCTAAACCCAGATATTTTTTCCTGTTACTGAGCCCATGCCCATCCCCCACGGCAGGGCCTTTGGGTTGAGCCTGAGGGAGGGAGGGAAGAGAGAGAAGCCACGTTTCCTTAGGGTGGGAAGGGAAGAGAAAAAGGAGAGAAGGAATTTCAGAGAGAGAGAGAGAGAGAAAGTCCGCAGGCGTGAGGGACAGAGACACAGACGTAGTGACACAGAGACGCAGAGAAAGACCTCCCTCCTTCTGAGCGCTCGCCCCCTGTGTTGCTCTGACCCGCTGAACCTCAGGTTCGTCCGCCCGGGCGAACCTCATTCCTGACTTTGGGGCGGCCGAAGTACCACCCTAAGTTTCCAGGTCTGGCTCAAACCCGCCTCTGGCCCTGGTTCCCCCAAGGGGTATCGGGTCTCCGGCCCTTCGAGCACTCCCCTGTGCGCCTCCCAGCGGAGGACCAGCTGCGGGTCCACTCTGCACCCAGTCTGATCCTGGAACCCCGGGCGGGGGCAGGATTGGTGTCTTTTGAGCTCTTATCCGAGGATAGGATGGCGGAGGCCAACGTATCCACGGATCGAACCCCCAGGAGGGCGCGCACTGGCGCAAGCTCAGAGGCTCCGGTCCAGGCTTGGGGACTAGAGAGGTGTTGAGAGATCTAGTCACCAAATCACAGAGCTCTAAGCACGTGTCCCTCCAGGGGCCCCTGCATCGAGCCCCCCTACTCTGCTTCTGCCCAGTGATGTGTAAGCCCCGTCCTTGAGGGGCAGGCGAGCGGCGTTAAGGGGTGCGGAGTGGTGGAAAGGGTATGTAGACCCTTCAATCTTACCGCATTGTTGAGGAAATCCGACTCGTTCAGATCCCCCAAGTCCAGGAAGCTGGATCCCGGGAACAGTCTGTCGGCAGGGAAGGGCTCCAAAACCGCGTCCATCGCGGCTGGTTCCGGAGACCCTCTTCAGCTGGGCTTCTCTCACTCCAGGGCGGCGACGCGTCCGGCCCAGAGCCTCTGCTTGAGCGCTGGCTAGCGGGCGGGGGCAGGTCCGGGGCTAAGCCCCGGGGGAGGGGCGGGTGGAGGCGGCACGGCCCCGGGTGGGGGGCGCAGGGGGCTCTGGGGCCTCAGGATAGCTGCGCGGAACGGGCTGGGCTCAGGGGCCCCGGGCGCGCCGCGGTCATTTAGCCTACTCCTCTCCCTCCTGCTCCTCCGGGGGCACAGCTGGCTTCCATGGGGAACCAGGGAGTGGGGCTGAGGGCTCGAGGAGCCCCCCGGACAGGGTGGGAGCTGGGGACGGGGGAGCTGAGAGCTCCCCCGGGACTGGGTGGCCGACGGGCGCTCCGCTCTCTCTGCGTCTCTCTCTGCTTGGCTTCTGTCACTTTCCTCTCTGTGCAACCGGGAACCCCTGACTGGTTAGCCCAGCTGGCCGGCGTGCCACGCCCCCACATCAATATTCACAATAATTTCATATTAATGAGACGGAGGAGTGGCCTGAGGAGTCGCCCCTCCTCTTTTAAAGAGACAAACTACTCTTTGCCAATCTCCATTCTCTGATGCCTCTGAAAACAGAGGCCTAAAGCAAAAGCGTCCTGGAGCCAATAACGGCGTTCGTGGAACCTCGGCGTCTTGTAAGGCTTTGCCAACCACTCTCCCATAAGTCGAGCAGGAAGCTGGGTTATTTCCGTTCTTCCAGTCTTGTGCTAGAACCTGAACCAAATCCAAGTCAGGGAATTCCATCTCACAGGCCCCTTAACAGGTCTCTTAATGGGGAGATTTTTCACGTGTTTCCTCCTCCAGGAAGCCTTCTTTGACCCCCAGGCTGGAGTATTTACCACCATGACACACTCACAGGACATCGAGTGCTCATCTCCATTGGGGTGAGTCTAATGTGCCATTGTCACTGTTTGTTCTCATGTCTGTGACCCTAACTGGACTCTGAGGTCCCTCGGGGCAAGGACTGTGTGTACCTTTCCTGTGTGTGAAGAGGCCAGTTGAACAGCAGGGATGAGGCAAGGACCTCTCTTCTCCTCAATCATCAAGTTCCCCTAAAGGTTCTGAGGAGCAAGAATTCGGAGAACAGTGGCCTTGGAATCTGCATGGACCAAGACGCTGGCTGGCCACGTGCTCCACAGTCTCGGGACATTCCTAGGCCTCCTGGATCCCTTGCCACCGAAGTGGCCTGTTCCGGCCTACAGCTTAATCTCTCAAAAGGGCTGATAAACAATGGCCAGGCAGCTGAACAAATGGAGGCGGTTCAGAAAGTCACTCCCTCAGCGGGCTGGGCACACCGGTTCCTGGTCCAAAGTCATTAATAGGATTAAGTGTGTCCTTGGTGTCTGCGGCTTTTAATTAGCTCAGGAACCAAAAGGTCTTTAAGAAGCAGAGGTGTCATTGCAGCCAGGCCACGGGTGTCACTGAAATGTCTCTCTCAGTACCTGGTGGGGCGAAGGACTCCTACTGAGGCTGTTTACGTGGGTGGGCAGGCAGGCCTGCGTATTTTCCCTCGTCTCCTGACCCCGTTGACACAGTTTTGGAGAATGAAGTTCTGACCCTCTAGGCGGTCATGGGACTGTTAGCTCTCAGGCCTCCTGGAGAGTTTGTTCCTGAGGAGCTGGGAGTGGAGCCCATGTGCTGCAGCCCAGTTCATCCTCAGTGAAACTCTCTCTGAGAAGCCAGCTGATCCCAAAGGAAAACAGTTAGCGCTCAAAACAATGGCAGATAGAATTAGGGTGCTGAGACCACAGGTGTTTTTTCCAAATGCGTCACATCTGGTCAACGGGGGAAGATTAAAAACACTGACGTTGTGGCTGATCCTTCTCAGGGAGGGGGGGCGGGAGTGGACTCTGGCTGGGTGAACAAGCCAGTCTGGTGGCTGAGCTTGTGCCAGCAGGTGTCTGGATGCCTGGTCCCCTGAGCTAGAGTCCCTACAGGCCCCCGGAAGGAACAAAGGTGCCCCTCTGCCCGAGGCTGGCTAGAGATCGTGCCTGTGTTCCTCTTGGCCTGCTCTGTAATTAGGGACACAGGCACCATTTAAGTGATTGGGGAAGATTATATAGTTTTAGATAAATAGGATTAGAGTGTCCTCTCTTTCCTGATTCTTACCCAGGTTAACACCCCAGGAACCATTGAATATAATCCTGCGGAGACATTCTGGTTCCAGCACCTCCTGAGGAGCCGGGGAGACAGGATCTTCACCTGCGGGTGAAAGGGTCGGGAGGAGGAAGAGGGGATGGGCAGTGCAGAGCCGGGCACGTCGAGATAATTGCTATTTCTGGGATGGCTAAGTCCTGCAAAACTGAGGAGGACAGAAGATTTAGTCACACACTCTGCAGGTATCCCTGAGCGCCCTCGATGGGTCCCTGGGCCAGACACTGGAGACCCGGTGGAGATGAAGAAAGTGTGCTCCCGAGTGAAGGAAGAAAGCCTGGGGGATGGGGACTTCAAGATGGTGATTTCAACCAGCGATAAGGACCGTGAAGGAAACAGAATAGTGTGATATGACCTTGTCGGCAAGGAAGGCCTCTCTGAAGATGTGACCTGCGAGCTGAGAACAGAACCATGAACTGGAATCACTTATGGGGTCCAGTGGAGGGAAAAGCATTGAAGGCGGAGGAAACAGCAAATAGAAGAGAAAGAGAAAGAAAGACTGGAAGGGGCATGAGAGTGAGAGGATGGATGTACGACCCCATGCGGTGCACACACCCAGTGGTGACAGACAGACGGAGGCCTGAGGCTCTACTATAGTTCAGTGCTGCAAAGAACTGTGCAGTTCAGATTACAGGGCCCCCCGAAGCCTTCTTTCTGTAGCAGCGCATCCCTTCTGTGTTGTCTCTTAGAGGTTTTCCAGGAGAGGAAATTAGCCGAAATTTGTTCTCAAGTCTGAGTTCTGATGCCACAGGGAGCGTCTGCTCCGGCTTTGCCGGTCCTGGGGCTGGTCCCTCAGCCCCTCCGGCCACTTCTCTACATCTGAAGGGCAGGGGAAGGAGGTCAGGATCAGTTCGGCAAACACCCCCAAACACTCCAGGTCAAGATGAGCACAGAGTGTGGCCCCTCTTATTATAGACTCAGGAACATCTGGTTGTTGCTCTCCAGCAGCTGCTCCAGCTGTGGAGCGAGATTCATAGACATCCCAACCCAGGCAGTGACGCACAGGAGATCAAGGACGGAGATGAGCTTCCTGCTCGTCCCAGACACTGAAGGTCAGGGTGGGGAGGGAGGCTCCAGCCGAGCTGAGCTGTGAACAGAGACAGTGATGTGTGTGTGTGTGTGTGTGTGTGTGTGTGTGTGTGAGACAGAGCAAGCATGGCTGGGACTGCCACACTTTGATAACCCTGGATAGTCACTACTCTTCTCTGCATCGCAATTTTTACACCTATAAAATGGGAGAGGTGTCAATGACCCCCTTGGGTCCTGTTGTCTCTCAGGACCTCCCGAATGCGCCCTTACCAGGACAGTCCCTGGCAGGGAGTTGGGGGGTCGGGGCAAGGACCTGCCTCCTTAGGAGGCCTGGCACTCCTATTTTCCAGGCTCCTATCTGGAGCCTCCACAAGGGTGCAAGGGTGGGTGTTTACACTCGGCAGGCAGGCCCCAGGTGGCGGTGAGAAGGTCACCCAAAGCAAACCTGTCTTGTTTGCCTGGCTCGTAAAGGGAAAAAGGCTTTGGCACTCCCCAACAGGAACTTCTGAGAAATGAAAACACGTTCATCCTGGAGATTAGGCTGACTTCCGGGGCACAGATGGAGCCCTTTGTTCTCTTGTGGCTCCCTAAAATTGATCCCCTCACCCCTGCTGGGGCTAAACACCGGAGTCCCTGGGGTGGTACCTTGCCAGGAGGGTGGCAGTGGGCTTTGGACCCCGGCTGTTGAGCTTCTCCATCCCTTGAGCTGTGGTTCCTTCCCCACCTCCACCCTGACCCATAAAAACACTTGTTCTGTGCCAGGCAGTAAATACTTGTCTCATTTAATTCTTGGAACAAACTCCAATGAGATAAGCATTCTATTCACTGATTCTGAGATGCACACTTTAATGACTGAAGTCAGAGTATGTCTTACTACCAATGGTGTGTTATAGTCAAATGGACAGTGTTCTTTCCTTCTTGATGCGCATAAAATAAGGGTGCGTGATATAATCGATGACCTCTTAGATTCAAGGAAAAGTGATACTATTAGCCTCCCCAATCTGCAGATGAGAAAAACAAGGCTCAGAGAGTGTGCGACTTGCCATTCCTTCACAGGAAACCAAGGCCTAGGGCCACAGGAGGCTAGACCTAAGTCGCCCAGTTTTGATGGGGCACAGATAACACAAAATCCACGCCTCCAGGCTCCTCACCCAGAGCCCTTTCCACTCACCCCAGATGAACTGCGTTTTCTCACCAGGGAGAGGCAGGACCGAGGGGGAGGGCATTCCAGGGCCTTCCTCTAAGCTAGTGAATCACTAGCCACCTTGCCTTGGAGAAGGGCCTTAAAGATAGATTTTTTCCCTCTCTATAAATTCTCTGAAGACTGAAGTTCCTTAAGGACTAAGAAAACATTCGCCTCTCTTCCAGCTCCTTTTCCTGGTAATTATTTTAGCTTCTCTTTCCCTGAATTTTTGTTCTACTGTCCCATCTTTGGACGGGAGGCTGGCCCGCCCCTTGGCTCCGTCTGCCCACCGCCTGGGGAACAGCCCCACCCGCATCCTGCTTTGCTCTCAGTCCTGCTCTGAACTCTCACCCTTTTCTTCCACCTCACACCACCTGCACCGCTTCTAGATGCCTCTGCAACCCAGGCTGCTGGCTCCAACCCTGAACTTACACCTCAGCCATACAGCCCTCCATCCCCCTTGCTCTCTACAGTGAAGTCAAAGGAAAAGAATCAACAAAACCAGTCTGCTCTCAGCGAGTCCTCATCTTCCCCCGGGACACTGCCCTGCAAATCCTGCCCCACCTGGGGCTGGCAGAGCTGAGGTGTGGGGCTAAGAGGAAGGGCAGGTGCATGGAAAGTCAGATCGACCGACTCGCCAAGTTCCTCCTCAGTCCCCCATTCCTATGCCTCAGTTTCCCCAACTTCCAAGGCTGATGAGGCTGATGTGGCTCGTCATCGTCGTCAGGAAGTGGAAAGGCGGCCTCAGACATTTAAATCAAAGGCTTTTGCCACAGTGCAGCCAGGCACAGTTCAGTCCCACGGGCACCGAAAACAGTCCAGGTGAAACCAGGGTCTCAGACTCTTCACCGTCAAGTGAGGGTTGTAGACAGGATGTTCTCTCCAGGTCCGTCCTACCAGCTCTGAACTGCTGTGATTCTGTCTTCCTCTGCTCAGAAGGTGAATATGGGGCTTGGGTGTGAGGAGCCGATGTGTTCCCTGGGCACTGGTTGAGCCTCTGGAGGGGGGCCTGTG